CTAGGACTTCTCGGACTACCCTCCGGTGCTCCTCTAGGGTGGCTGTGAAGATGAGAATGTCGTCCATGTAACAAATGACGACCTCCCGATCAATGAAATCCCGAAGGATGTCGTTCATCATGGTCTGGAAGGTCGCGGGTGAGTTACATAGGCCGAAGAACATCACCATGGGCTCGAACAGCCCTCGATTGGTTGCGAATGCTGCTTTCCACTCGTCGCCATCCTTAATCCGGACGTTGTTAAACCCCCATCGTAAGTCCAGAGCTGAGAAGTACTTGGCATTGCGGAGGCGGGCGAGAACGTCTGAGATGAGTGGAAGCGGGTACGAGTTCTTTACCGTGATCTCGTTCAATTTCCGGTAGTCCTGGACCAGGCGTAGCGACCCGTCCTTCTTCTTGACGAAGAAGACTGGAGCCCCCATCGGGGACTTGGAGGGTCGTATGCGCCCGTTCTGCAAGTTCTCGCGCAGGAACTCGTCCAACTCTTTCTGCTCCGGCTGTGAGAGGGGAAAAGTCTTCCCCCTGGGTAGTTTGGCGTCTGGGACTAAGTCTATAGCGTGGTCCCAGGGCTTCCGGGGGGTAGTTGGTCGAAGGCTTCTTTCGAGAACACGTCTCGGAAGTCCTGGTAGTGCTCTGGCACCAACACTTCAAACGGCACGGGTTCTGCCCCCGGGTCATGGGCTTCTTGGGCCATCCGCTGGGAGGGTGTCGTAGTCGCTCTCAGGTCATGCCCCCACCCCGGGGGAATGATCACGGCATAGATCCCGTCCCCGGGTTCTAGGGCAAGGTCCGGGTCGCTTCGTGCCTCTAGCAGCTTGCAGGAGGATGGGCAGCGGGACATGGTGACTTTCTGTCGTGCCCAATCCACTTCCGGGTTGTGGTGCAACAGCCACGAATGTCCTATGATGAGGGACTGTCGCCCGAGGTTTGCAACCGCGAACCGGGCTCGCTCTGTGTGTCGTCCGAATGTCAGGAGGGCCTCCAGTTCCTCAGTTATGGCTCCATTCTCGTTGGGGGTCCCGTCGACGTTGCGGACTGGGATGGGCTGAGGGAGCCGGGTGGTCTCAAGGTTGTGCTTCCGGATGAACTCGGGGCTTACGAAGTTCCCGGTGGCTCCTGAGTCCAGGAGCGCTGACACGGATACAGAAGCGAGGGAGGTCAGGGCGGTCAGCTTCACGGTGAGGCTGAGCGACCTGGGGGATTGTTTAGAGAGGACGTAGATGGCGGGTGGGGACACCGCTACCTCAGGTGTTACCCCTGGGGTTCTTTCACTCTCTTGTGCTGGAGATGCGCTTTTTCTCCTTTTCTTTGCGATAACTCGGTGAAGCTTTGGCATTGCTGGCTTACGCGCTTTGCGGTATTTACACGAGTTATGCTCTATGGGCGCTTGGGATGCATCCCTCACCGGCCGCCTTCCTGAAAATCCTCCTGAGGCCCTGCCTCTGGCTCTTCCCCCTCTCCCTCTGGTTCCTCAGTCAGCTGCCTCTTCAACCCCTCCATCAGTGCTCGAAGGTCTTCCGGGTGGAGGCGTCGGACTCGGTGGACCTTAGGTTGCGGGCAGTCTCGTGCGATATGCCCTGGGGCGTTACAGTTGTAACACAGCCCGTTCCTCCTGTGGTCAGTCTTCGAGCGGTCGAGGTCCATGGGTTGCGGGCCCGTCCCTGTAGGGGGGCGGGCTGCAGGAGTTGGGGGCGGGGCTGCGGGCCCAGGTCGTGGGGCTGCGGGTGTGGGACGTGCGTGAGGGGGGTTTGTAGTTGGCGGGGGTCGCGTCAGGGTAAACGGAGGCCTGGGCAGGGGCGCGCAGGGTTGTGTCGCCTGGAAGCGTCACCACTGGTTGTCCAGGAGGGTGGCTTCACGTTTCCATTCGGCCCAGGTGGTAGGCATGGGGCGGAGGCGATATATGCTTTCGCGGAGCCGGGCGTTGATTGCTTGCTCGAAACGGTCGACAAGCCCAACATCGCCCAGCCGCGAGGCGGGTCCCAGTATCTCGAACTCCTGGATGACTTTGTCCACGGAGTCACTCCCCTGTCGGATGCTTGCCAACTTCTGCCGGGCAGTGGCTTCCCGGTTGGGGTCCTGGAACATGGCATCGAGTTCCGTGTTGAACTCGTCCATGGTGAGGGTGGGAGAGTTTGCTGTCAACAGCGCGATGGTACGCTGGGTCGCCCACGCTCCTGCGGTCCCCCCCTTCATGTAGGACAACACGAAGAGGATCTGAGAGAGGGGGGTGGGGAACTCGGCCGCGCGGACGTGGAAATAGATGCCACATTCGGCCTTGAAACAATCAAGGTCCTCGCTGGCTCCTGAGAAGGCAGTGGGGGGGGCAACCTTAGGCCCTTTGGGTCTGGGCGCGAATGGGGGCGCAGGGGCGGGTGTAGGTGCGGGCATGGGGGCGGGTGCCGGCTGGTTCAAGACCTGGCTTTCGATGATGGCCTGTAGTTCTTGGAACCGGGCCAGCAGGTCGTCGTACTGCTCTTCGGTTACCATGGCAGGGGAGGGAGGAGGGATAGGGGAGACGAGGTTGAAGCCTTCTTCTGCTGTCAGGGACGCGTCCGGGGTAGAGGAGGCCCGGGTGAGACGCCCGACACTAGGAGCCTCGCGGGGTGTGGAGCGGGCGTGCATACTGGCGGGCCCGGCTCAGGAGGCAGTCCCTGGCCACTTAGACTGAAGTGGAAAAGGGTGTTATTATTATTAAAAGGGAATACTATGTTACTTACCTGAAGTGGAAAAGGGTGAGAAGAAGGCTACTTCTTCGGTTCCCACTTCAGGTGTGTTTATATACATGCGGCTTAGGTCACATGACGGGTGCCACGTCATCCTCGCATACAGCCGTAGTCACCTGGGTGTCCCCGTGGGGGATCCCAAGGGCGTCCGCTGTGAACGTGCGAGCTGGACATAGCGGGGGTCGCCCGAGGTGCCCGGGCTGGGCGTGCCGTGAGCGCGCTGCAGGTGGGTCAATGGTACATTGATACAAGGAAAGGTCGTCCGTGTAGAATAAAGAGAAAATAAAGAGAAGGTGAGATAAGTAAAGAGAGAGTGGAATGGAGAAAGAAAGAAAGGAGAAGGGGGGGGAGGAGGTAGGGGAAGACTGGGTGGCGGGGTACCGGGTGAAGTGGGGCCGGGTGGGGCCGGGTCAGGCGGGTGTGCCCTGACAGTTGGACGATTTACTCGTAGTTCGTGTGCTTATATTCGGATGGGGCGATATCTTCGGATATCTAGGGTGAAACAGAAAGGAATGATCGCGATAACGCTAAGTGCATGAGCAAACGGAGGCCAGGGCACCATCGGGCTGTAGGCAACTATGATGCACCCAAGGATGAATGTTGGGAGAACGAAACGTCAGGGATTGCAATGCGTGATGCATTCAACGTTTCAAGATGGACAACCATGCTGGGAAATGACACGATGCATGGTCAAGAATAGGATGCTCCATCAACTGCACACTACTGGCATTCAACTAGATGAACTAGACTGTGCCCTATCACGGCAGACCAGAGCCGGGACTGAGGGGCGCTGCTTGTGGGGTCAGGGGGACCCCGAGGACAGATGTGAGCCGAGGAGTTCTGCTGTCACAGCAAACACTCGGCATGGACCTAAGCCTTCACGCGGTGTGTTGAAGCACCAGCTTAGCTTTAGCAGGTGGGGGATAGTTGTAGACTGTTAAAGTAACCATAGATATCTGAATCTGTGTATACCGTCTCCGATGAAGGTACCATCGTCTAGCTGGCGCTTTCTGACCACTACGCCTTCAAACCACGTACCAGCGACCCTATGCATTCTCACCTTCTTCCTTTGCCACCTCTGTTACCATGGGGCCAACAATTCATCAGCAAACCTCGAAGGTCAATAGAAGTGATAGACAGCAATTCAATCATCTCAATTTGCTCTATCAACACAATCTATGTGTCGGTTGAGCCTCAATCAGCTCTATCACTGCTACACAATGTACAATTATGTATGTTTACTTCCCACACATGGTACATGAATCTACAGAAACTAGAAAATAAGGCCGAAACACCGGCAGACTGAGTGACCTTAAACGACAACTGTTCAACAGTCCCTGTGTCAACCATGGTGAGTCCCATCTCGTCCTTGGTGATGACAAAAAAAAGTTGGTCCAATGTGATGTCCCTCGAGTTTTGACATTGAGAGTCAGTGGGAATTCTGCTACTTGAGCCTTCGCTAAGGGGGATGCTGCTGTCCCTCTGCAGCCATTCAACATCACGTTCGTCCATGTTGTAAACATACCATTCACATGAACAACACAGGTAGAGTCGGTTTGTCCAAGACTTGTTGCATCCCAATGGCGAGTACTTCCGAAGGGAATAGCTTGGTGTTTTGGGCAGTTGCTCCATTAGCATTAGATTTGGAGGGGCTTGTTCATGTTTCTAGTAGTCTCAATAATTTGATAGCAAATTTTTGGACAAGCTTACCCAGTGGCTTCACATCCGAGACCCATTTTTTGATCACGTTTATTGCCACAATGTGCGTCTTCATGTCTAAAAGAAGATCAGGCCCCTGGGTTCCTGAAAAATTGAACAACAGACCTTAATGCATTGTCAGCTGAAGCAGAATGTTAAGTGCGTTGCCCCGCATTGAGGTTTCAAGAGCGCGAAGTCCCACAAAGCATTGAAGCTTGGTGCAGCCCTTAAAACCTTCGATTATTCTTGTTATTCAGTGTTCCAGTGGATCCAAAACTCATGTTAAAGGATTGGTGGCTAGGTCGGCAAGGTACTGGAGAACACGCTGAGGCGCACAGAGAATGAGAAATGGCTGCCACACGTAAGCGCTATCTATGTTGTCCACTCACATACCTAAGAGAGCCTCTTAAAGCCAAAGCCAGCTAACCACATTGGGCACTGGGGCAGCCTCTGGACCTGGCAAGGTGGGCTCTCATCCCAGAGGATGCACTTACCTTGATGTGAAAGCCTCCATAAGGTAGTTACAGATCATTTGCCACAGACCGTCGTTTCACCCTCCAACCGATAAAGCTGGCTCAGTCTAGTCGACTGCACTGTCTTGCTTATCCCTCCCTTGTGTGCCCAAATCCCCTGTTGCCAGAGTGCCGATAGAACTTCGTTGACCATGCATGACAGTTTGCACAAACAGCAAAATCCACATTTTGTCCGATGGTATTGGTCTCAATAATCCATCATTGCTCGCCCCTAGTTCCAGCTTTGGAGTAGATTCAGCATCATGAGGGACTGCAATGAGATTCGTATGTGCTCGCTCCAACTGCTTTGTACCAGTCTTTGAGATATGAACCTTGCAGAGCGTATGAAGGATTCTGCCTGTATGATATCAAGTTCTTGGGGCAGCGGTGGATCGAATGCGGTGCTTTGTAGCTGAAGGGCTAGCTCGTCGGCCTCAGCGGAATCGTCAATGGTTTGAGCCACCTGCAACACCTCTGCTGACTGGGTAGAAAGGACACGACCAGCTCTTCTGTCAAGAGATCAAGGAACTTACGTCAAGCTCGCGATGTCCGAGTACATCTCCTCATCATCCACATCGGACTTCCATGGTGCTTCCTCGGTTGATGGTTTTGATGTAGCCACAGTTGCATGGCTGGATTTGGCTTTCAAGGTGCGGGAGATTCTAAAACTTGTATCATACACATGATGTACGACGAGAGTTTCCATCAGTCATCCTGAATGGAGAAGTGCTGAGTTTTTCTATGATCAAACCTGTAACTAGTTCGGTGGATGAGTCCTGAAAATTGAAATTGGCAAGTGCAGAAACTGCAGAGGATGTGTCAGGACCGCTGAGTTCCAGCTTTATGCGCTTTGGGTGCAAGATGCGAAAGGCATCGATGCAGCCCTCTTCGTCTACGTTCTGCTTCTGCCACAGCCGTTGACGGCCATATTCAGCATGAATTATTTGCTTGATATGCTCAGAGATTCGCTCCAAGGCTAACCTGCAGGAGCACATTCTCAGAGATTTCAACTTGACGACGAAGTCACTGCGGAGTGCATACTTTAACAGATAGTTGAGGAGAATAAATATAGACTTCTCTGCACTCCGGATCTTGATAGTGGATTGACCAGCTAACTTAGCAGGACTCCATTTGGAGGTGGCTTCAATAATAAACTGGAGAAGTTGTGGATGGGCCTTTGCGAGTGTGCCGAAGGAGTTGATGACGGTGGATACTGAGTCGGAGTCCCTGTATTGGTGATAAACGGAAGGTGATTGGGAAAACTACCTGATATCACATACGAAGAACTATCAAGAATTGTCGTAATGAGTGTGAGTAATTGCGTTCCCTCGGCTTCAAGGGCAATAGCATTAATGAATGGGTGATCTGAGGGGATGAGCGAAACGTTTGGGTCCGCTTTGTTTTGCAACTGGCACAAGAGCGAGAAACATCAGATTGAGATGGAATATCATGACGGTTAGTCCTTGATGGGCTTACTTGAGGGTCGCTAACACCCCGTGTCTGGACCAAGATTACGTGTTGAGCGAACTTCAATGCCGCTAGACAGACTCCCACTGGAGCTGGGGGAGAGGATTCGAGAAACTCTACAATGCAACCCTTAGCGATGGAAAGAACATCCCATGGTTGTCGGTTAGCACGGTTGATACACCTAGACAGGGGAAACACAATCAGGATTGGGGTGTCGATTAAATGAGTCACCAACTCCAGACTCACAAATAATGGAAGAGCAGGGGTATAGTTGGGCATAGCATTGTATAATACATTTCAATAATTGAGTAGTTGTTGATGTTGCTAGTATGGATGCACAGGTGTCAGCGCATTGAAGTGCCACTGCAAATACGTTAGACCTTCGGGCTTGCGCCTCTGATAATGAGCTCATATGTACATTGTGTACAAATTTCAAAACTTAGGCGATTCGAGGAAATAGAAAAATGAAACAAATCGATTGTCCATCTCTGGAACACTGTGTCTCGCATGCTCACAGCGGTCTGCAGAAGGGTGGGACATAGTGTTTTTAAAGCCTCAAGATCACTCTCAAGTAATACACGGAGTCCTTTTAGTGCCTGTGTTTGCTCCAGGGAATCTACAGGACATAGATAAGTGCAGCCGAGGGGTCTATTGATGGAAGTGACCACAGGGTACGTACCTCAACAGATAATTGAGTGGACTCACAAATAATGGAAGCGTAATGGACACAGTCGACTAGCATTGTATAATAATAGAGTGGTTGTTGATGTTGCTAGTATGGATGCGCAAGTGTCAGTGCATTGGTAAACACATTAGACCTTCGGGTTTGCACCTCTGATAATGAATGCATATGTTGGGTATGGATTTCCAAACTTGAGCGAAAAAAGTTGGGGATAGGGGCATGGCGAAGAGTGGCTTGTGTTCCGACAAATATCAAGATGAAGGAAAGGGTATTTCTTGTTGAACTTCTCGAATAGACCCAAAATGAGTTCCATCTCGTCATCGGTGATGACAGAAGAAAGTCGGTCTGATGCGATGTCCTTGCCTCGAGTTTTGACATTGCGGGTCGGCGAGAGAATTGCGCTACTCAAGCCTTTTCCAAGTGCGATCCTGGTGTTCTTCTGCAACCATCATGTTGCAAGCGGGAATCGGCTACTGTCTCCAAAAAACGGAAGGTAGCACTCCAACTCACTCCCCAAAAGCTAGGGAAGAAAGAGAAAGGGGGCTAAAAGGGGTGTTGCGGTATGAACAGGTCCATATAATCAACGGGAGGGGGGGGGGGAATTTGGGGAAATATATATAACTCTGATAACTCTTGCTTATCTTCTTTCTGTGGTGGAGTTTCCTAAAGGTCATGATAGCCCTTTACCAATCGTGTGGCCACTCACAGCACCCAAGTGCACGGACTTCAAAAGTAGTGGGAGGGGGAAAATCTCTGATCTGTTTCAATCACTATGTACATATACCCATACAGCAAACATACAATCTGTGAAAAGAGTCCGAAATATATGGGTTTGGCTGAGCTAAGCCTCCACCAACAACGGCAGTAAGGTTTGGCTGCCATTGGCTTAGAATAAATTTCCAAACAACAAAGGAAATTGAAAAGAAAAACACAAACTTCCTCATACCACTCCAAACACTGCATCAAACCTCCGTCCCTTTATCCCACTCGACTCTCCTCATCCATAGCTTTCTATCGATACCGATTTTGTGAAGTCTGGTGGAGATTTGACTGAGAACGGGAATTCTCAGAAACGGAATATATATCTTGATTATCTGTGCACAGGGAAACTTGGGCCAAATAATATGCCACAATTCCAAGACTCCTCCAATGTCTTCTTTAGCATTTGTATCATTTAACTAGCCCATATTCTCCTGGAATTTCACTGAGACTAGCTCGCACGTGAGCTTCCACATAGTTCATATTGTCCCGTGACTCCCATCATGCCTAATAATCAGAATATCTCCAAAACCACTGAACCGATTAGGGTGAAATTCAACACTGAGTATTTGGGCATTTTTCTCGATTTAATGACCCAAAGATCGTCCTCTTCCGTCAGCTTTTGACCTTGTTCTCATGGTCGCGGTCAAGTACACGGACTTTGCTCATGAGGACATCTCTGGTTGAATTTCACCACCAAATCTCAACCAATTCCTTCGCGGAAAGGCTCATTCGGTTCGTACAAAAACCCTCTTTCTTCTTTCCCATTACTCCCCTCTATCATTCTTTCTTCCTAATAATGTACAAGGGTGGGAGCCCAATTTTGACGTATTTGCTGCGTAAGGTTCCATGAATTTGAGCACACCCATTATGCACTCCTACAATGTTAGTTCATGTCATAAGTGAACCCATCAAGAATGGATACACTCCTTAGCTGTGTAAGACAACAGGTTTCTGAAAATACATCAGCGAAGTCGATATCTCGAGTTGAACAGGAACGTCCAAGGATGGAGATACCCAGGAATCTCACCTCATAGGCTTCTGGCGAGCTTGTCCCAGAGCGTCTCCACCTCACCCGGGAGGACTTTTCCAGCGCAAGGGTCCACAACCCTGGTCAAATTAGCATGGAGATCTTCATGTTCAGGGAGCGACTTCTCAACGCATGTCTGATCGTCCCCAAGTCCAGGGGAATTTCTTTGTTCACCACCTGTAATGTCATCCTGATCACTCTCGTCTATTCCACCAAAGTGAGTGTCACTGAGGGTTTCATCGCAGCTAAGAGAGTCGCCGTTTTCAGACTGAGAAGCATCCTGGGATGGCTTGGGGGTGAGTCTTCGATATTGACAAGCTTGTCGAGCAGTATGCTGCATTTTTTTCCGACAGAAACCATTCTGACGCAAATGGTTTACCAGCCCACCACCCCTGCGCTGACATACCTTCAGACACCATGGGCAGTGTTCATAACCCTTCCCAACGAGCAGGGGGGGTCGCGAGCATTTTGTTAACGGACTTAAACTGAATTTGCAACCATTTACAATAAAGTTGGGAGAATCAAATTTAGCTTAAGTCCGCACATCCCTTCCTTTCAATTTCGAACTCAGTGATTTTCAGTTCGGACCATGAGCAGCCGCACACGCTCCTCAGCTGGAATTTCTAAGACAAAAAAGAGGGATCCCAAAAATGTCGCAGATCCCCTTGTGCCTCCACCCCAATCGCAGGTGCGCCATAGTAATAGGAGCAATGCTGCTGTCAAGGCTTGGGAGACTTGACGCGCGAAGCAAGCTGCCGCTAAGGAGGCAAGTTCCAACCCTGATGCTGTGCAGCCAACTGCTGCAGAGAGTACTGGTGAGTGCAACACTTATCATTGCAAAATATCAAAGGAACCTTAGTACACCCGGTTTCGACCAGGGAAGTGGTGTCACCTGAAACACAGACAGCCCCGACACAAGATAATCTCAGCCAGTGGAAGACTGCTTGGGCTCGATATCACGCTCTCCCCGCAACCATCCATGACCGCTATAAGGGCACTGTAGCTGCCCCAGGCCCTGCAGCCTCAAAGGTACGTCTATTCTTTGTCAGGGACCCATGCTTGACTAATATCTTAATGAGGTATCCTCCGGTGAAAATGCTGCCCCATCCACACAACTCAATTGGATGTGTCAAAAACCCAGGTTGTGGAAGAGGGGTAAATGCGTGAGTCCGAATGCAGGCAGGGCTCAACTAGAGGGGGGTCCGAGGGCTCCAGTAGTGAACCGAAGCTTCTCAGGGAGCCTGGTTCTGCTGGATGGTACAAGAGGCTCTAAGAAGGACGTGGCCTCAGCAACTCGGAGGGAGCGCTGTGCCTCCGTTACGTCTCAGTTAGTCCTTGTATTTCTTATGTCTGAGGTGTCTTGTAGAACAGGAACGGGAATCACTCAGAGGGACTTTGGGTGGCATTTTAGTCGAGATTAGAACTAAGGAACTACAGGTTCTAATCTACGTGTATTTATAAAGGAGGACGGGGAGGACTTTTAGTCAAAGTCCGAAATGACAAAATGGGAAAACACCGAAAGGTACCGAATGATACCGAGAGGTACCAAAAGGTCCCGAACGATATCTAAAACGGGGAACCGAGGTGTCGGGCCGAGGAGGGCGGAGTTGGAGGCCGGAAGAATGAATGGGGAAGACAAATGGGTAAAGGGGGTTAGCCGACTGGATGGTAGTAAAAAGGTAGTCGTGCTAAGAATGGAAGGTGACTAATAGATGATAACGTGAGGGAGATCACCGAAGGATGTGGGTAGCTCCGAAAGCGGAGTTGCGTATCCGAAGGATGTTAGGTGACTCAAATAAATGAAATGGGTGGGGGAAGGGTTTAAGGGTATGTCACGGGATATCGGAGGTCCGTCAGGGTATCGGAGCAAATCCGGGGTCTCCGAATGTTCCGACTCGGGACCGAGTTTCCGGGATGGGAGTGGCCAAGGTTCGGTGTGCCGCAACCAGACCGGAGCTGAGACAGTCAGGAGGGAAGGTGACTTGGGGAGTGGGGAGGCATGGTGTAGGGGATGGTGAAGTTGTTAGGAAGGTGTGGTGTGGTGGGAGTGCGTGGGGTCGGGATTCCGGGATATGACAGGATGCCACCCTATTTGGGCACAAGTGGCTGTAAGTTGTATAGGCACAAGTTTGTGATCTACATTCACGCTAAGTTACACTTCCATCTGAACTAGCAATTCCAACTTTCGAGTTCACTACAGCAGATGTTTCTGCTGCTAATGGAGAGGTATCGTACAGCGAGTAGCCTTTAGTACTCTAGCATGGAGCTGACTTCAGGAATGTGGCATATACAGGTCACGGAGCACCCTGCCACTGGCAGTATGCTTATCACTGGTCATGGGTATCAGCCGCGGCCATGGCAAAACACCCTTAGGGTCACAACTCAAGATGGTTTATCCATTAATTGCCCAGGATCATGCAGTCTAACACCAGTTTCAATGAGTGATCGGGTAAGGGATCCCCTAGGAATTTGCCCAAACCACTAATTTATTGTCTGAAGTGCCCATCTCCTGCTCTAACTTGTCTCAGTGCAAAGTTGGCAACAGGCAGTCGCCAACCATCACCACTTAGTATCACTGCTGGCCATGATGATGACAGCGACGGTAGGAATAGTATCCCTGAGGGATTAGCACAAGGCCCAGCCAGCGGCAGCGGCAGTGATATCGAGTTCAACAGTCCAGGCTCGGTCCTATCTAGCCAAATCGGTTCCCTCCAATCCTGTGAGGATGTCAAGGAGGAGAAACTGGTCCATGTTGGCCATACCAAGGCAGTCCTGAGGAAGAACACGAAGAAGGACCCCCTGCTAAACTCCATTTTCGAACACATACACACCGACTTCTACTTGCTTGCAATAACAGATGACCTCTTTATAGAAAATGTTGACTGTAATATGGTTGTTCAGAGACTTGCCCAAGACACGTTCCACAGATCCGGAATTCCACCGTTTGAGATACAGGATAGTATGGTCGCTACTGTAAGTCATCCCCACTGGAATGGATCATCTTTGCTGAATCTTCCCACTAAGCTTGCCTGTGACATTAAGTCATGGAGGTCTAAACTCAAGAAACACCTTGTGAATGTAGTTCCTTCCTTCTATGGAGTGGGACCTGGTGTAGATGGGAGTACTGTCCAAGAGATTGTCAGGCTCTCACTCTCCAATTCAAATTTTGCCTTTCGCTCATACAGTTCGGACCCCGGTAATGTAATCTGAATCCCTGTTTGTATTGCTCAAATTTTCACGTTCTGGCAACGTCTAGCCCTGATCTGGTGCATTGGAGCACCCGGCTATCATGGCAGTTCTAGACTATACCTTTGCATTGAAGGAGCTCAAGCCGAATTTCCCTATGGCATGCACTGAGTTGGAAGCCAAACTGCAAAACCTAGGTCTTCCGGTATTTGTTAGAACTGGGTGAGGGCGGACGACTCTGGAGTGGAATCGGAGACTTAGCCTGGAAGGACCTTGGCCTCAGCGACTCAAGCGGAGCGCTGTGCCATTGCTGTTTGTCCATTTGGTCCTTAATTTCATAGGAGGCGAGCAGGAAGTCTCTAGGGGGCATTTCAGGTCGATTTCAGACTAAGGTCTAAAATGAGTATGTACAGGCACCGATATATATAATGGGAGGGCGAAAGCACAAGGAAACAAAGGGGATCTGAATCGGAATGAAGGCGTCCGAACGGGAACAAAGGGAAGACCAAAGCGGAGCAGTACCGAAGGTCATAAGGCAGAACCTGTGGTACGTCCGAAAGGAGGTAAGGAGGGCGAGGCCCAGAGGGGCAGGAGGATGAGGGGAAGTGGGGATGATGACTAACTGGCTAGAATGGGAAGAAGCAGCAGTCCAAATAGGGATGAGGGGAAAATGCGAGAGATACATTACAAGCGGCAAAAGTGCCGAAGGTGATCCATGGAGCTCGGAGGTTGTGGAGCTTACAGAGGTTGCGGAGGTGGGGTTGGAAGTCCGAGAGATATTGGCAATGGTGTTTACGTAGTATGAGGTCACCAATGCAATGGACTAAGGCCGAGGTGGAGTCAAAGTCCGAGGTAGGAGCTATGACGGAGGCTCGGAGCAAAGGTACGAGCGGTGTTCGAGTACGAAGTACGGGACAGCGGCGGAAGGTCGTAACTTGGTGGGGGGTCGATGGAAGAGGGCCAGAGGAGAGAGAGAGGGAGGAGGAAGGAGGAAAGGTGTGGGAGAGAGGAAAGGTGTCAGGTCCGAGGGTGAGTATCGGAACGGACGGGAGAAGAGTAGGAGGGTGACAGAAGGGTGGAGGTGTTGTGGGGAGGAAGCAGAGGAGTGGGAGGAGGAGTAGGAGGAGGTGTCAGGGCACACCCGCCTGACCCGGGTCCACCCAGACCCACCCAGCCACACCACACCCGCTCCCCACTGTCCAACCCTCTCCCTCCTCCTTCCTCCCTCTCCTCCCCTTTCCTTTCTCTCTTTCTTCCCCTTCTTTATCTCATTCCTCTCATCTTCCCTTTCTTGTTTATTTCCTTCTATCTACATGGACCACCTTCCTTTGTATCAATGTACTATTGACCCGTCCGGCCCACACACCCCAGACGGCTTCCCACTGTGCCCAGCACGTGCACATGCAGCGGACGCTCTCGGGATCCCCCACGGGGATACCCGGATGCCTGTGGCTGTCTCTGAGGGTGACGTGGCACTCGTCATGTGACTCAAGCCGCATGTACATAAATGTACCTGAAGTGGGAACCGAAGAAGTAACCTTCTTCTCACATTCTCCACTTCAGGTAAGTAGTATAGTTTTCCCTTTTAATAACAATAACACATTCTCCACTTCAGTCTAAGTGGCCAGGGACTGCTGTCCCTTCCCGGACCTGCCAGTACGCACGCCCAGTTCGCACCCCATGAGGGCCCTTCTGCCGGGCGATACATCCAGACCCCCTCTACCCCGGATGCGTCCCTGACAGGAGGGTGGCGAGAGGTGTGGTGTTCGATCCAAGGTGAGTATCGGAGTGGACGGAGATAGGGTAGGAGAGGGATGGAGGAGTGGAGGTGGCAAGGGAGGTGAGAGGAGGTGTGGTGCCAGGACCGAAGGTGAATATCGGAACGGACAGCGGAAGGGGAGGACTCTGGAGATCAGGTTCGGAGTTCCAGGAGCCCGGAGTGGAGGTCGGGATGTATGGATATGACAGTATTCGGTTATGCGCTAACAATGGTGAGCCAATGGTTGGCACTTAAGTTATGAAGTTCTAATCCACATGCACGTAACTTTAGATCAAATATATTCTAAACCAGTATAAGTCGGGAAGTCTCGCAGACCCCCAGCAGGAGTTCAGTTCCTCTGAGTATTCTGAGGAGTGGGCAAAGATTTTGAGGTCCCTCAATGAGTGGCGAATGAAACCAAATCGCATCGATGATTGGAATCAGATCTCCAATGAATATGGCAAGAGAGCACTGTGCGTCAATGATACTTTTTCTTGATAGTTTTGAGTCTTAATTTTACTATTTATCTTTAGTGCAAAGCTCGGATTTACCAACATGGAGAGTACTTTGTCATTTTGGACACCAATTAGCTCTATTCATTGTCCTATATTACGCAACAATAAACACCCGTTGATTCCAGTGCTTGCCATGACTGCTTTCTATTCGCACTTGAGCTGATTGTGACACTAATTCATGAGATGCATCTTGATATCACTGAAATCAGCACAATCTATGCTCAAATTGAATCAAAGAGGCCTCTAGATATCAGGGGGCGCTCTAGAATTGATTGTGCGAAACAGTGAATAGAAATGATATATATCACGGCTATCAACGTTGGAGGTTTGCTGATGTTGGACGTCATATTGTGCTTTTAGCAATATTTGGTATCGTGATGCTTGCACCAATTCATTGTAGGCCAAACATGAGTTAGAACAGGCGAGAATAGACTGGGCTCTCTGGCTCCATGGTCGAAAGGTCGGGCTTCTATGGAACAAAGAATGGACCGTTCCATTAACAATCATTTGTACAGACAACACCACCTGCCAGATCTGACATTACTGTACTATAACACCCATAGGTTCATTCCCACGGTTTTTGGGGATTGCCATCTCCTTCTTGCATAGTTCATCTCTCAGTGTGACATGCGCCACACATCACATGAAAATCTTGAACTGAATTGAAACTGAATTGATTTGCTGATTCCAGCAACTCCTGGATTTCGTGGGAACCAGTTGTCAATACATTTATCTGTTCAAAGTCTCGCTGTGACATGTGACAAAACCTACTTTAGTTCAGTTCACAGTTTGCATGTGACATGTGACTGAACCAATGGTCGTTATAGTACAGTACTTTGCCTCAAACTGGAAGATGATGAGGTTGTCGCTTTCAAAGAAGTTTCCTTGACACACATTCAGGTCTATTTCTGACGATGGCTCCGACCATGGAATTATCGTGTCCCCCCACCGCTGCTGCACCAGTGTAGACTGAACAATAGCACAAGCTTGGTCATATGTTGCCTCCTATTTGCCACACACATCAACATGCACTCTTGTTGCTCGGATTCCAATGTGGTGAGTAGATCTGGAAAGCCAATTTCATGAGAATAAGCATGGCCCAAAGTTGAGAACTCTTTAAATTCATCCCATTTAAAAGACGCAGGCCTTCCAGAACACAAAGACAGCTGGGCAAGAGTTTGCATGCACACGCTGGAGCTCACCCTCAGTAGGCAACACAGTTGCCTAGTGTCAGGGCTCGGTCCTCGATTGGGGACAGCCCGACCTCAGGCCTAGGTGTGTGTGGTGTTCTGGGTGGCTGGGTGCTAGACCCTGTCCTCAGCTCCTCAAACTCACTGAAGGGACTAAGCAGGGATTGAGTTGTCATGTATTACAGAGGGTAACTACAACTTGCCTAAGTGGGGATTGAGTTGAGAAGAAGGGTAAGTCTCCCTATTCCCTGCTTGGCTACTATAAAAGGGAAGTGTACTGTACAGTTTGTAACGTGACTCTGGGTAGAAGCCGAGCATGTTCCCGTGACTCGGAAAAGGTGTCACATGGGTTAAGGCGAGTTGCTCGCCTTGACCCACGTGATTTTTCCTGCGGGCTCACATGCAGGCTGAAGTTGTGAGAGATATGTAGGGATGGGGAGGTCTGGGAGGGTGGTTCTGGGGTGTGGTTGGGTGCCCTGACAGCGGGGTCAGGGGCCGATCCCTGACACCTAGATCGACACCAAATAACACTTACAGCTGGCATAAACATGTGAATTAGACTCGTACCCAGTCATTTTCCCCACATGCACAACATGCTGTGGAAAAGTGACTAAGCCAATTGCCTTCAGATGCCATAGTATTTAGCAGATACCGAAGATCTAGCCTCTTAATCTCATCAATCCTTGATGTGGGTGCAACTATGGCTGTGATGGTGCGACTTTCATGCACAATAATGAGTGACAACGCCCATAAAATGTTGGATGTTAATGCAGCTAGCGACAGACACACGTCATCAAGGGGCGACGATGTGACCTTCGAGATGAGGGAATCCTCAATCCTCCAAGACAGGACACTGTGCTAACATGAGGGCGTAACTTGGGGCAGTTGACGAAGCATCCTGTCATATCCATCCATGGCCATTGTCTTCCACTACCTCTGATCCTTCCAGATTACCTCCGCTCCTCCGCCACTAACCTCGGAGCCTCTGGTTCCCACAATCACCTCCGACCCCCCAATGGTCACCACCTCTCCAATTCAATATATTACCTATGCCTCCCTAAGTATGGAGCCCCAAAGCTCTCTGGACAGCTCCGACGTCCGCTAGCGCATTCCTGCCTCCACTGGGCAATTCACTTGCTTGCCCTGCAAGTCTACCTTCGGGCCTATCCCTCCTTTCCGCTTGTGGTTATAACCCGTCATTCCACTAAACCCGCAACCCAACTTGTTGGTAATATTCAGTTGGCTAACATCTATCTCTGTTAGCTCTGCTCTGCTCAGTCCCGCTATTCATGGGCCCACCCTCGCTGTAACTATATATACATAACTTGTAGATAGGTTACACCCTAGTGATAAAATCGACTAAAGTTGATCCCCCTTTTTAGTTCTCGTTGCCAGTAAGTAAATTAGGGCACGGACATGTAACTTGGCACAGCGCTCCTGGCCTGAGTCGCTGAGGCCGAAGCCCTCTGCCATGGAGACAACTCCTTCGTCTCGCTCCAGTCTCTAACACATCCTATCAGTATTGCAAACACATGGTTGTACGTACCATGTCCCAGGATT